GTTCTCAGGGCAACAGCAGCCTTCCTCCCTTGCCCTTAGCAGGGACAAAGAGCTTGACCTTTAAATGAGGCCATCTGCAGGGTCAGCAGAGGAAGAGCAACCACCAGAACCTGGGCTGGAGCCTCCGTAGGAAAATCTTGTTCAGCACAAAGAGGAAATCTAGAGATACAGAAAGCCGCCTGGCTGACAGGGTGACTAGACTTGTGATTTGACAGGACAGGTAAGGGATATTTAGACAAAAGGTTAGGGTTTTGTTTTCTTTTTCTTTTTCTTCTTCCTGGTTTTGTGGGACCTGTATAACCACTCCGGGCAGTTGGGAAAACCCTTTATCTCAGGACATCAGTAGATTGATGATTTGAGATCTCCAGCATCTCCCAGTCTCCTCATGGCTATTCCCCTGCACTAAGTGGTTGAGGGCTTGATATCTACATATGCCAATTGACACCTTGCTTATCTATCTTTTTAAGTCTAATTACCTCTTATCTCAAGTCCCATGCTGCCTAGATCCAACCAAGAAGCCCTCCTTCACACCTTCCTCATAACCAGCTTGAAGTCCACTTGCATCTCTAGTCACTGGCCCCTTGCAGGCCCTGGAACAATTATCGTCAGTTCCCCTCTCTGGGCTGGCCTCTGATTAGCCTCACTTCCAGAATGCCTCTGTCTCTTCAGCAGCTTGTCCACCTTTCTGCATGTCACAGACCTGTGCCAGAGTCCTACTGGGAGTTCAGCACCAGAGAGGTCCTTGTTTAAAAACATCTGAAAATCAAGCATTGGGGTGTAGGCCTGTAGTTCCAGTCCTTGGGAGATAAGAGACAGAAGGGTCAGGGTTCACTGTTATTCTTCACTACGTAAGGCGTTGGAAGCTAGCCTGGACTACCCTCAGGCCAGTTTTGACTTGTCTCAGTCAAAACAAAACAACAACAAAAATTCAACACAGAGTTACCATGAACCCAGAAGTTCTACTCCCCAGTGTATACCCAAGAGAAATGAAAGCATTTGTCCACACCAAAATGTGTACATGGATGTGCACAGCAACGTTATTTGCTGTTTATAATAAGTAGAAACAATCTAGTTTTCAGAAGTAGACTGTCAGGTAAATAAAACGTGGCACAAATAAAGGGGCAGGCAAGCCTGTGGAGCCACCCTTACAAGGGTGTCTCATGAAATGGCCAGTCATGAAGACCACACAGGGTCTGGGACCATTTATGTGGGCTGTCCAGCACAGAGGATCTGGAGTGACAGAAAGGTAGGAAGTTGCCTGAGGCTGCAGATGGGTGTGGAGAAGCATGGGGTGACTGCTGATAGGTACAGGATTTCTCTCTGAAATGACAGAAATACTTTAAACTTAAGCTAGACACAGTAATGCATGTCCATAATCCCAGCACTTGGGGGAGGGGTGGCTACCTAGGGTGGGGATGCTGACACAGGAAGATTGTGAGTTTTAGGAAAAACCTTGGCTATATAGTGAGACTCTGTCACGCAAAGACAATAAACAAACCTCAAAATTTAAACTATGGTAATGGGTTCATACTCACAATATGAAAAAGACAAACATTGAGTTATACACTTAAGTAGTTGAATTTTATAGTTTAGAAACCATTTGAAACAGTATGGAGGCTTGGGGTGACTGAGGTACAGGGAGCCCTTCTTGCCCCCATCAGCCTGGCTTGAAGAAAATTGCTAACTGATCCTAGTTCCTAGAAGGATGGGCTTTCTGCCCCATGAGGTTGATAAGTGCTGTGACTGCCACCATTCTATCCTTCGTCCCTTTCTATGGGTCTTCAATGGAAAGAGACTGGGGCAGGGAAAGGTGAGGTCCTGAGCATCCTTGCCATGGAGAGGAAGCTCCTGAGGAGAACGGCAGGATCCCAGACCCTGGGGTGACTCCAGGCAGCATGGAATTAGGGCCTTAACAGAATTCTTCCCCAGCTGGGGACAGAGCAGGAGTGGGCCCTGCCTGTATAGTCCTGCAGTCCCACCTCTTTTCACAGCACCAGGAAACCAAGAACAGGTGCCCAAGGCAGAGACACATCAAGGCGGTCACATGTGTACCTGGCAACCAGTGCTGAGAAGGGGTTAGCAGCCTACTCAAGGTCACATAGCCAAAGTGGCCCAGCAGGCAATGCCACCATAGTCACAGCCAACCCGAGGGAGGACGCTGGCCCCTCCTTCTCTCCACTTCCATTTACAGCTTGGTGTAGAGCCATTAATGAGTAACTTGACCATTTATCAGGCTTCCTGGCATGGGTTTCTTAGGCCTTGGAGGAAAGAGATTCTTTAACTGGTCCAAATTTACCTCTGAGTTCCAGTAGAGGGCAAGTCAATGGCACTCTGTGGGATGTTTGCCTCAGGTGGGAGTCAAGACCCTGGGCTCAGTTCCGCACTACTCTCTTCCCATCTAGACCTCAGCTCCCTGATCTTTAAAGTGAGAGGGTCTCTCAGGTTCTAGCTGAGCCACTCTAGCTGGTATATTGGGTGGGGCTAGTGTGGGGGACTCCTGGGACATTCCTGGATCAGCCTACAAGGATCACTCACGAGAAAGGTGGGAAGAAGCCTAGAGTTGGCACTGGTCCCTGACTTCTTCTTGCTGGCACATATCCTGGGCCCTGCAGTGACGTTGAGGAAGCCCAGGGCTGCAAGGAGGGATGAGCACTGGGGGAGGGAGATGCATGAGGCCTTGAGATGGAGCAATTGCTATCCCCAATTAGAGTGGAGGAAACCGAGGCTCAAGAGGGGCTAAGTAGCAGTGGCTTGGCCCAGGTCACACATTGGGCAGTATCAGAGGTGAGCCTCAAACCAAGTGTTTCCACCACATAGTCCACTGCATCTTTGATTTCAAAATCTTTTTGGTTTTTTGAGACAGGGTTTCTCAGTGTAACAGTCCTAGCTATCCTGGAGCTAGACATGTAGACCAGGGTGGCCTTGAACTCACAGAGATCCACCTGCCTCTGCCTCTCGAGTGCTGGGATTAAAGGCATGGGCCAACACCGCCTGGACTCAAAATCTTTTTAACATTATTACTCTTCAGTCTTACTGGGTGGGTACTCTTCCAGGAATATGGTTACCCTGGAAGAGCCAATTACTTCAGCCATTTAAAACAGGCAATGCATATACTTTAGCCTGGCCCCGAGAACAATGTATCATTCCAAAAGGATTTCTGGAATGTCTACACACAGCCCTATAGCACCTATAAGAGTGAGCTTCTGACCTACTCTTTGGTCCACAAACCCAGAACAAATGTGGGGTTAGCCTTCCAGACTCCAACGGCAAGCCTAGACTCCAACCACAACCAGAGTCCTGGCAAGAGAACCAGGGAAGGGATTTTCCATGTCTGCTTCCTCCTAGGTTCACTCATGGGTCAAATGGGCACAAGCCTGAAGTCCACCTCTCCGTATTCTCATGTATACTAAAAGTCTGTACCACTGTGAGGAGTGTCAGTGGCTTTCATGCACACAGTAACTCCAGGCATTACCTGTCCTTTCCCTTCCTACCTCCCTGAGGTTTCTTCTGTCACAGCTTATTGGTCTTAGGTCCCATCCCCTCAGGATTTTGCTACAAGCCTAAGTGCTGTATTGAACCACTCCACACCAGCCACACCCCCAGGATACCTGCTAGACACACAGTAGGCACACAGTCTACAACTGAGCGGTTCTCCCAGCTCTCACCCAATTGTTTGGTTTCTTTTGTATTTTTGACAAATGCTCTTGCTATGTAGCCCAAGCTGTGCTGAGCTCTCCATCTTCCTCCTGCCCCAGAGTGCTAGGATAGCAGGCATCTACTTGCAATGTGTTAATTCTTCAGAGAGTATCTGTACTTGACCTGGTGAGTGAGGTAATGGTAATGGGTTGGTGAAGTACACATAGAAGTGACTCTTGCTATCCCTGAGGCTGCCTGCCTGCCTTATACAAGGAAAGGGAGTGTTGGGGGAGAGACAGCGTTAAGGAAAAAAGTGCCGTCTTCATCAAGCCGCTGTGCTGGGTCCAGAATAAGAGGCAGATGTCGTGTGCTGTCACAGAGCAGGAAGCAGAAACGCAAGCAAGCACTGAGGTAGGGCAGCTGGCTGGTCAGGGCTGGGGACTGTCAGAGCAGGGATCAAGGGAGAGCTGCAAGACCGTGGCCTGATGGACCACCTGCATTGCAGCCACCTTCCCTTGTCATCTTAAGCTTGGCCTGAAGCAACTGTACCCCCAGGTTCTGAGTGAGAACAGACAGGGGTCATGAACAGTAATCTCCTCAACAGATCAGCCTGGAAATGAGAAAATAACAAAATAATGAACTACTGCTATCAACAGAGCTCTTCTGATAAAGGCTTTAATCGGATACCAGATGAGATGGCTGAGTGCCGAGGGGATCAGAGACAAGTGCTGGCAAAAGACAATCTGCTCCACCTCTGGGGATCCCCTCTGCCCTTCCAGTGCTCTTGCCCCGCCTCTCCCTTCTAATAATCTGAAGGCATTCTTCCACAACCTCCAAAATCTTCTTGCTGCCCCAGCTCTTCCCCGCAACACAGCACGTTAGCCTGTAGAGTGGTCCTAAACACGCAAGCCTTTAGTCCTTTCTCTGGGCAGTTGGTTATCAGGCAGAAGTCATCGGATGTCAAAAGGACCTTGACATCGCTCTCTCATGGGGACAGTCCTCCGAGGGCTGTTCTGATGTCTGTCTGAACAGGGAACTGCTCAGACTGGTCTCAGTGGGGATAACCCCTGACCTCCATCCTTGAAGAGGGGTCACTAAATTAACCAAATTCTGTTGTGGCTTTGCTCCTGGCAGCTTGGTTCTGCCTGGAAAGACAGCTCTTGTCAATTCCTGTGTGAAGGGCACATGCAGCTTACCTGGCCCTACTCTTGCCCAGCGGAGGATTACCAGACTCGGGCTCATCCTGGGTCCCCACCCTTATCTTTAGATATATGGCACTGGTCCCTTGAAGATGCTCAAAGTAGCCTCCCTGAGAGTTCACAGAACTGCTTAAAATGAGTAATTAAAGGTTTTAGCAACACAAAATGATAGCTGAGCTTTGCGAATACCAGTGTGACACCTGGTGTGCTCATGGCAGCCATGAGAAGCCATAGGACATGAACTTACTCACCCACCTGCCTGCAACTCACAGCTTGTGAGCAGTTCCCTTCCTGCTGGTAGCAGAGCAATGGCAAGGAGGAAGGGCCTTCCAGGAAGGCTCTGGGCTCCTCTGCTGACTCCAGCTCTCCCCTGCCCAGCCTAGCCCAGTCGTTATGGGCCCTCTTCACTTCTACCCTGGCCATCTCCCTGGTATTTGCTGTCATCCCCTTCTGCCATGATGTGAAAGTATTGGCCTCGGTCATAGCGCTGGCGGGCCTAGCCATGGGCTGCATCGACACCGTGGCCAACATGCAGCTGGTGAGGATATACCAGAAGGACTCAGCCTTCTTCCTTCAGGTGAGCTGCACAGAGGGAGGCTGGGTAGTGGGCAGAGTGCAGGGAGCTCCCCAGACCCTCCCCTGGGATGGTGGTGACTCACCCACACACCATCAGTAACCTAATACCTGGGTTTGGGTTTCTTCATCTCTCCAGGGTGATCTCTGCCTGCCTTGTTGGCCTCTCCAAGAACCCCAGTGTTAACAAAAGTTCTCTAAAGAGGAAAGGCAGTGTTACTGAGGGCTCGCTGTCTGTTCTTCCATGTCTCTTCCCCTCCTCTTTCCTTCTAATCTCCCAGTGTATGTGGCTGTTACCAGTCCCCAACAAAGCAAGTTAAGGGAAGAGAGTTCATTTTGACTCACAGCTCAGGGGGATGCAGTCCATGATGGTGGAGAAGAAACGGGGTCAGGAGTGGCTCAGTCCTTGGCACCAACTAGGAAACAGAGAGGGGAACACCAGGGCTTCACTGTTTCCTTTTCCTTTTTTACTCAGTCTCAGACCCCAGCTGACAGGATGGTGTCACCCGTATTTGGGGTGGGTCTTTCCTCATTAGTTAAGTCGTCCTGGAAATGCCTTCACAGACATCTCCAGAGGGGGGTGCTTTCCTAGTGCCCTGGGTGTATCTTAATCCAATCAAGTTGATGAAATTGACCACTCTAACAGGCACAGCACCAACAGGAACAAGGCCGGGGAAGTAAGAGGGGGAGGAGGGATTGGCATCTATCACACTCCAGGCATCAAGTATGGTGCAAGGGGGCTGTTCTCGACATTTTTCCTAACCTCTCCTACTTCCTGAGTCTTTCTCCCAACTCTAGGGCCAGGCAGGGGGACCCTGGCTGGGGCAAAAGGTAAAGGGGAGGGGAGGTTGCACCTCTGGATACAGGTCCTGAACCAGGCTGAGTGGTGCCCACCCCCACCCAGGTCCTCCATTTCTTCGTGGGCTTTGGTGCTCTGCTGAGCCCCCTGATTGCCGATCCCTTCCTGTCAGAGGCCAACTGCTTTCCTGCTAATAGCACAGCCAATGCCTCCAGAAGCCACCTGTTCCATGCATCCCGGGTCCTGGGCCAACACCATGCAGCAACCCAGCCTTGGTCAAACCAGACGATGCCCAGGCCGTCCCCTAAGGATTCGACAGAGAACCACGTATCCTATGCCTTCTGGATCATGGCTCTCATTAATGTGAGTGTATCTGGTGCAGGTGGGGTAGGGAGCTTGGGGCCAGCTTCCCAGCGCAGAATCTTCAGACCCATGAAACATGCCAGGGCCCACAGTGTGCAGCCAGGAGGGAGAAGTGACCCATAGGAAACATGTCCAAGGTCCCTCACTGTGACTGTGTTGGCAGTTCCCAAGAAAGGAAGGTAGTGGGTATGTTTGCACAGTGAAAATCAAGGTCAACTTCCAAGTTCTCTGAGGCCTTGTGAAAATCATATCTGTTCCTCCATGACCAAGAGGCCATGGCACATAGTGGCTTCCTCTCTGGGGTCCTTCATCAGTGATGGGGATCCCTTGGACCCTGCTCCTTGGGTTCCTGTTTCCTTAGAGTGACAGGCCTGTTAGCTACCGTAGAAACAGCAGAGAGACTGTCCTAGTTTGGTTCTGTAACTGTGATAAAAACACTCACCAACAACAGCTCATGGGAAGACAGGGTTTATTTTGTCTTTATAATTCATCATGGAAAGAAGCCCGGGCAGGAACCAGCAGGCAGGAACTGAAATGGAAGCCATGGAGGGACACTGCTTGCTGCCTTGCTCCCCGTGGCTTATTCAGCTTGCTTTTTAAAAATAGTTTATTATTTTATGTTCCTTGGTGTTTTATCTGCATGTACATCTATGTGAATATATCTGATCCCCTGGAACTGGAGTTGCAAACAGGTGCAAGCAGCCATGTGGGTGCTGGGAATTGAACCTGGGTCCTCTAGAAGAGCAGCCAGTGCTCTTAACTGAGCCATCGTCTCTCCAGTCTCCTCACCTTGCTTTCTGTTTTGGGGCAATACCACCCATACCCAAAGCATACATCAAGAAACTGCCTCACGTCTAGACATGACCTCAGGCCAATCTGATTTGGGCATTTACTCAATTTGAGTTCCTTGTTTCCATGTAGGTCAAGTTAATAAGACTAAACAGCACAGAGACCACTGACCGGACCAGCTTTGCTACTTAGGCCCCTTTGTGCACCTGGCCCAGTCAGCATTGACTTCCGCCTAGGCTTTACCTAGAAACCTGCAGCGCTCTACAACTCAAGAGGATCCCCTGTTAACCCAGGGGAGATTTCCCCCTCCCCCCACCACACACACACCAGGCTTGGGAGTAAGCACTCAGGCCCTCTTAATTACCTCCTGATTCTGACCTATCATGGCCTGGAAGTGAGGATATTCCAGGTGGCCAATAGTCTGGCCGTAGGAGAGTTCCTGTGTGGGGCTTTTCTCTTGGGCCCATGCCTCTCTGCAGTAGGTCTGCCTCTCCCTAGTCCTGCTGAGGCAGCTGGTTGCTGCACTGTTTCAGGGGAATGTCTTCATATAGCACTGAAAAGGCCCTAAGCCCCCACCATACTGAGGTCCTGATAGGGAGCTAGAGAGCAACCTAGTCTCAGCCTAAATAGTCTTCCTTTCCCAGGCCTGGGAAGTCAGTAAGGCCCTTCAGAAAGACACCACTTTCCCTCTGTTCTGTCCCTTTTATGCCCATGGCCACCATTTTGGATCAAGGCATCTTTGAACCTTCGTCCTCCAAGGGGTCCCTGCTTAGGGAAGGATCCCTGCTAGGACTCCGCATGCAGGAAGTCCTGCACAGGACCAGGGTCTGTTCTCCCCAAGAAGGCGAAGACTGGAGAGGCTGGGAATTTCCCAATTTGTTTATGTCTGAACATAAGGCCACCACAGAAATGAATGGACTGGCTTCCTTATGCTCACACACATACACACCTGCCTGGCACTGGTCAGTTTCCAGGGTAGCACTGGTGTCCCTGAATGGGATTCCTATAAAATTGAGCTATGTTCCTGACAACATGCCAGCCAATCTGTTGTGAAGCCTTTTCCTTCACCTATCTCTCTAGAAAGGCCTTCTGAGTGCCAGACTTTGAGTCCAGCTGCTTCCCCTTGACTTTCTCTAAGGTTTTCTGCTGCTGAAGCCTCTATATGGGCTTCCTGTTTCCCTAGGTACTGGAGGGAGGGCTGGGTCTCCCCAGCACAGAGACATAGGTCTCTTGCCATAAAGGCCTCCATGTGTGGCTTTACAGCCTCCAAGGGCTATTTGAACTTGACCTTGTTGTTGAATATTGTGAATAGGGGTCACACTTGTGTTGCCCATGCTGATCTTAAACTCCTGCCTTTTGAGTAGCTGAGACTCCAGGTGTGTGGCACCACACCTAACTGTGATCTTGACAGGTGTGTGGCCTTTGAGTGTTGAAATAGGCTCCCAAGATCACCATAGAGAGGTGTTAGCATGGGGTTGGGTGGCTTTTTGTCTCCAGACTGGTGTGAGCATTTTTCTTAGAGAGTGCAAGGGGCTCCCTAAGAGAAGTTCCCTGCCAGGTTGGATGTCTGCTTGGCTTCCACTCATGCCTGGCCCATTGCTGGCTACATCTAAACACTTCTGGAACTTTGCAGTGTCTCCTTCCTCAGCAAAGAACCCAGGCTACAGCCACAGCCGGAAGGACAGCAGTTAGACTTGATAAAGAGCTTCCTGTTAGTGAAGGTGATTGGACCTGGGCAGGGACACCTGGGAGGCAGTGGCTGCTTCTCCAGGCAACATCAGAAGTAGGAGGAGTTTCCTATTGGGCTAGGGAGCACCCTTGGGACCAAGTGGCTCGGTGTGAAGAGCAGCGAGCTGGGCGGGGGAGGGGAGATCGGCACTTGTCCATGCCTGTGTTTTCTAGCTTAGGCATCAAGCTCCTAACAGAGCTCAGTACCCTCTAAGGACATACCATCACTCCAGCAGCCCAGAGGTAGGAACATGCAGGCCAGAATCAAACGCCAGTGCTAGCTCTGTGGTGGGAACTCTACACTGACTGTGTCTAGTTGACTTCCCAGGGTTCTTCCAGTCTTAACAGTATGTGGCTGTAGAATAACTTTGAGCCCCATTTGCCCCGTCTGAAAAATGTGATAAAAATCTTCTCAGCACATTTTCCCCACCTCTTGATAATACCAGGGATAGAACCCAGAGGCCTTGTTCTTGGTAGACAGGCACTGCTCACTGAACCATATCCTCTGCCCCCTAATTGCATTTTCAAAAATTACATGATGTGTATGAATATTTTGCCTGCATCTCAGTGTACCCTGTGTGTGTCTGGTGACTGCAAAAGCCAGGGAAGGGTGTGGGATCCCCAGGAATTAGAGTTACAGACAGTCGTGAAGTACCATGTGGGTACTGGGAACTAAGTCTAGGTCCTCTGCAAAAGCAGCAAGTGCTCATTCTTAACTGCTGAGCCATCTTTCCAGACTCCCACCCCCAATCACATTTTATAGAGCTGTGACACACAGAAACAAGAGACACTGTGCTGTCGCAGCATTGGGAGCAAGGGTATTAGTAGACAGTCACCCGGAAGCTGGCCTAAGTAGCAGAGGACCCTTGTAAGTCCAGGCTTTGAGAAACATCCCTCTTTCCTGTGAGAAATGGGTGCGGCCAAGGCCAGCAGTGCTCACACCAAACCTTTGAGGTATTTGAGGCTCATGGGCTGGCAAAGACTCTTTGGTGAGGTGTACACCTTGGACTGTGAGCCTGCCACATGGGCCAAATGTAGCCAGCCAAGGCCCTCTTGACCCTCTACCGCCCTCAGCTCCCAGTGCCCCTGGCTGTTCTGTTCCTGCTGTCCAAGGAGCGGCTGCTGACCTGCGCCCAGCGGAAGCCACTGCTCCTGTCTGCAGACGAGCTTGCACTGGAGACCCGGCCTGCTGAGAAGGAAGATGGCTCCTCACTGGCCCCCAAGTTTCAGCCACACCCAGGTGCGGGCTCTTGTAATCTATTCTGGCTGCTCTCATAACTCCACACCCAGAAGATGAACCTAGCTAGTGGTCAGGAACAATCTTTGGTCCTGGCGGGCTCATAAGGTAAGTGATGGAGCCACCTGGCCAGAAGAAGGAGAAAGGCAGAATGTCTCCATGTTCCCTACTATCTCCTGGGTTACAGTGGCCTCTCATCGCAGGTGCCTGAAAGCTAGAGGAGGGGGAGGCAGCAAGCAGCCCCTGCCATTCTCCTGACTGGGTGAGCAGAGGGGAGGGAGCAGTTGATCAGCCCCACCCTTCTGTGCCTCCTTCAGGGCAGGAGGACCTGTTCAGCTGCTGTCAGAGGAAGAACTTCCAGGGAGCCCCATGCTCCTTCTTTGCCATCCACATCACAGCCGCTCTGGTCCTGTTCATGACAGACGGGATGATGGTGAGCCTTCCTCCGAAGGCATGCTCTACTGAGAGGCCAGTCCAAGCCTGGACTGGCAAGAAGAGAGAGGCACATGGAGGTCGGCAGGACTTCCCCTTCAGTGCAATGAACCGGTGTCCTGCCCGTCTCCCACAGTGCCCACAGCCCATCCAAATCAGGACTTTGTTCTGCTCTCACCAATTGCCTTCATTGTGTGAATTCCAGAAAGGGGTCTGCCTGTCTGGTGTTTTGTGTGTTTCATTTCCAGTTCTGTGTGGCCTGAGTTTTTTTTCAGTTTTAGTTGCTTTGCTCTGTTCTGACCAAGATCAAATGTAGCCTCGGCTGGCTTTGAACTCTTTATCCTTCTCCCAAATGCACCATACCCAGCTGTGACCCACATTTTTGAAAGCTCACAGCCCTGTTGCCATGTGAGAGGCCACCCTATATGAACTCTGGTGCACTCGGCTTCTTGACATGCTCTACAAATGGGGCTTCCCAAGCTAATCTCATAAACAAGCCACACTCCAGCCCAGCTGTCCATTCAATGGGTGACCTCTTTTACCCTATTTAGTGCCCTTTCTAGAAGTCTTCTAAGTTAGGGAAGTCTTGAATGACTGAGTGATTGACTACTGTAGGAGAGACACTCCTAAGAGAAGGCCCCAGCCCACAGCAGACCTGATCTGACATGTACCACTCTAGGGCGAATGTGGACCCATCTCCCCACTTTCCTTCATTTGTAAAGTAAGAGATTAAGCTCTTTTCCTTCTAGCCATGTCTGTCTGCCCAAGCCCTGTGGTGATGCCCCATGGGGACCTAGTGACATCTCAGGTGCCACTATGGTACCTATTCTGTCCTCAGCTTGGGTGTGAATGTACCATGTGATCTTAGCTCCCAGAGCATCTTGGGCTGAGCCACTAGGGACAGGACAAATCGGGCTTCGCTGCCCTCCTCAGCCTGTCCCAGCTGAAGCATTGGCATGCTGAGTGAGGCTTGCTCTCTCCATTCTCCACAGGGTGCTTATTCTGCCTTTGTGTACAGCTATGCTGTGGAGAAGCCATTGTCTGTTGGACACAAGATGGCTGGTTACCTCCCCAGCCTCTTCTGGGGCTTCATCACCCTGGGCCGGCTCATCTCCATCCCTGTCTCCTCAAGAATGAGGCCAGCCACCATGGTGTTCATCAATGTGGTAAGTGGCCAAGTGGCCTCCTTTCTCTTCTTAAAAACACAGAATTTGTTTATTCCTGGTGTTACCACTGCCCAAGACTATTCAGTACTGTATTCTGCCAGAATAGTAAGGAAGTGGAAACAGAGGAGGAGGGATGCTGACAAGCAGGATAGAGATAAGGAAGAGGGGCCTGCAGTTTAGCCTTGGGAAAGTCCCTTCCCCTGTTTGGGCCTCTGATTTTGTAACCTTGAAAGCATCAATGGAAGAGACAATGGGTGATTACTATGGAGTGGAAGAAAGACCCTCACTGACATCTGCCTGAGGGATATAGGTTTCAGCCTTGGTCCTCATGCACATCTCACCCTGCTATTTGGAGCCCTCTTGGGAGTAGAGCCGGGAGTCGATGCTTCTGGCCTAACTTGGGATTTGCCTTTGGCAACTCTCTCCAGGAGAGTCTTAGATGGCCAGACTAGCATGTAGCCAGGCAAAGGAACAGGGTCTGGGCCAAGCAATAGATAAAGAAAGATTCATGTCCTGATGTATGTCCATGTCACCATCTATGACAAAGGACTCCAGACTACAGAACCTGTAGGGTACATCTAGGTCAGTCTTCCACTGAGGTGTAGATCGCTTCTGTGACATCCCCACCAGTCTCTGTTTAAATACCTCCAGGGGTTGGCAACTCACTACTTTTCTAGGAAATCCACTGTAAGAAAGCACTTCCCAAGCGGGAAAGATGGCTCAGTGGTTACAAGTACTAGCTGCTCTTCCAGAGGACCCAGGTTCGATTCTAGTACCCATATGGCGGCTCACAGCTGTCTGTAAACCCAGTTCCAGGGGATCTGACACCCTCTTCCGTTCTCCTCAGGCATCCACACATTTGGCGCATAGACATATATGCAGGCAAAACAACCTTACACATGACATTAAAAAAAAAAAAAAAAAAAAAAACTTAGAAAGAAAGACTTCCCAGGTAGGTGTGGTGGTGCACCCTACAGTCCCAGCACTTGGGAGTGGAGACAGAAGGACTGAGTTCAAGGTCAGCCTGGGCTACACAGAGAGAACTTGTCTATGAATAAATAAGCAGTAAACACTGCTTCTGGCTGTAGTCAGGAAGATGTTTGCTTTTGCAGAATAGTTGAGAGAGGGAGGGGTTTGGGTGAGGGCAGGACTAGGCAGAAAGGCTCCCCGATGTTTCATGGGGCAGAGTGAACAGGACTTTTCTGAGTGGGGAGGAAGGGGACAGGATTCAAGGAGGGTGCTAGAGTGACCACATGTACGGCTGGGGCCCTTCCATCACTACAGTGGCATGCTAAAGTAACTATAAAGAGAAAAGTCAGCTCTTGCTTTGGGGTGTTCTAGTCTATGACCTCGTCTGTGGCATGCTGGATAGCACAGGCTGGAGTAGGGCTTGGCATATTGTTCATGTCATGAGCTGGGGGAAAGGGCAGAAGGGAAGGAATAGGAGAGCCACAGTCCCCTTCAATAACATGTGACCTAGGGATTTCCCATAGGACCAGGGTCCTACCACCTATAGGTTCAAGCTACAAAAATACCCTAAAGACCCAGCCTTTACCTATTGGTTCATTTCCTATGCATAAAGTCATGAAATCCTGAGCCTAAGACTCTGAGCTAGTCTTTAACCAGTACACAGCAGCAGCTGGCCACCCTGGAGTTTCCCCCAGCCCACCAGTCCTCTCCTTTCTCCTAATCATCAAGTTGATGTGCTCAGCCCCAAGGGCTCCACCACCTTGACACACACAGCTCCTCACAGTTAAGTATAAGCACACAAAAAGGCTCTTGACACTAGTCAAAGTGTTCACAGCTTCATGAGTTCCCAGTGTTGGGTCACCAGGGGTCAGGATGGTTTCCAGCACCTCTTGTTAAGCGCCTTAAATGTCCAGCAGATTCCAGCATCAATGCCTGGAACAAATCCTGAGTTACAGGTGATGAGGAGCCTTGGGTGGTTGGAGGTGGGGGCTAAGGATGTGCTATACTGCTGAGCTATACCAGCCCCTGGAGCCAACTAACTCCTAAACAAAACTCATAGACAGCAGAGAAAAAAATAGGCTGTTCAATTAGTTGCTGGGCAGAGAAAGACAGGTAGAGGAAACCATGTTCAGTCGGAGTCACACTGCCAGTGTCCGGGGGATGGCTATGTCCGTGGAGCTGTTTCATATGCGTGTCTAGACTTCTGGACCAACATCATGGTTGTAAGGATCGTAAGTGCCCCTAGCATGGAGACATTTGAATCTGTGACTGCGGCAAATGGGATGTGGACGGAGATCCCACAATAGAATCCTGGCCATGCTCAGGAACTGAGCAGAGAGAAAGAAAGAATAAACAGAGCTGTGGGGTCATCTGTGCTAAAGAAATTGCTATATTTGGAACCATAGATTTATCTGTGACTTCTGCACTTTTAACTTGATTTAGCGGTGGTGGTGGTGGTGGTGGTGGTGGTGGTGTGTGTGTGTATGTGTGTGTGTGTGATGTCAGGGTTGTACTGGATCATGGTATGTTTGTGGAGGTCATAAGACATCTCTGAAGAGTTGTTTTTCTCTTTCCACCTTAATGAGGGTTCCAGGGGGCTGTGTATGAGTTGTGTATGTCTGACGCCCACAAAGGCCATAAGAGGGCATCAGATTCCCTGGAACTGGAGTTATAGATGACTGTGAGTCATTGTAGAGGTGCTGGGAATCAAACCCAGGTCCTTGGAAAGAGCAGCAGTGTTCTTTAACTGTTGAGTCGTCCCTCCAGCTCCTCCATTTCAGGTTTTGTTTGGTTTTGTTTAAGACAAGGTCTTACTGTGTAGCTCAGGCTGCTTCTAACTCATAATCCTCCTGCCTCAGACTCCTAAAACCCTGGGATTACAGGTGTGCACCATCATAGCCATGGCTTTTGTATTTTTACCACATGAAAGAAAGCCTCCTCTGAGTTGCTTCTCCATGGAGAAGGGACATGCTCGTTTTCAGCCACTGTTTCTTGTTGACTTCTTGTTGGCAGGAAGGGTGAACACGTCACTTTTGAGGGAACTTGAGGTAGTGCTAATGGGGTGTATTTATGTGCTGAGGTCACTAGCCTCCTTCTTCCAAGGGGGAGCAAGATCTCCCAAGGTCTGCTGTGATTCTCCGAAGGTCCTTCATCTTCGAATGGAGGAGTGGGTTCAGGACTAGCTGTGGTTTTTTTGTTGTTGTTGTTTTTTGGTTTTTTTTTTTTTTTTTCTGCACATTTTTGGGCTGTGTTTTTTTTTTTTTTTCGCATGACTTTTAGGTCTGTGTATTTATTTTCCTAGAAACAGATATGCAAATACTTCCTAGGATACCATTTATTTTGTAGTGCTGAGGATCAAACCCAGGGCCTTGGGCACCCAGGCTAAGTGCTCTAACATGCAAAGCTCAAACCCAGGAACATTTTCCCATCAAAGCTAGGACTTGGTAAAGAATATGAAGTTTCTTTTGAGCACAGAGCTGGGGGTATAGGTCAATGGTGGAATACTTGTGAAGTGTGCACCAAGTCCTGGGTTTGTCCTCCGGCATTTGGGGTGGGGAAACCACTCAGAAATACTAGAGTAAGAGAACATTTGCTGGAAGCTCAACACTTCAAGCCTTGTATCATTTCACCACCAGCCTTGGAATCCCCTTGCTAACTCCTGGTATAAAGATGAAGACTATAGAGTTCAGGGCTCCATATCTGGGAGGCACTCAACGTGGACCTGCACCTGGGCCTTCAGACTCCTGGCTTTGTGCTGCTCAGCTTTCTTCCCAGATAGGCTTTGCATAGAAATCACTCAACACTTATATAAAAAAAATTTTAAAGAACATAGAAACTGGGTTATTTTAGCAAAACTCTGCCTCTGGAACAGAGACTTGGCTGAGCCACAAGGATGTCTGAGCAAGCAATTTGTTAGTTCCAGCCATGAGATTTAAGTGAAATCTAGGAGGCACCAAGATGGCTGCCATAATTATTGATCCTCCTGGGTGCTTGTGTTAGATTCCCAGAGGGTGGGGACTGAATATCCACCACCCATCCTGCTGACTCATGACTTCCTCACTCTGGACCCTGGAACTCAGGTGCCAGAGTCAAAGACTGACACTTCATAGAAGAGGGGGGTGTTAGCCCACCTCCAGCAGCAGGAGGGGGAAAGTTGATGACCTGGTTTCAGAGAAGACCCTGGGATCCAGCGATGCTTATTCCCCTTGATCACTTCTAGCTCGGGGTGGAAGGGCATGGTTGCAGGGATTGCAGTTGGGCTCACCTCACTGTGCGGTATTCCCTGGATCCCCTGGAATGTTGCAGGTATCAGTGAGACCACAGGGTGGCGCATGGGCCACACCATTCTCCAGAGGTCAGCAAGGCTGCTCCTGCCTGAGCGATCTTGCCCTTTCTCCAAGATGCCCAGTCTTGTGCCCTCTCTAATTGCATCTGCCTCTTCTGTGACAGGTGGGAGTGGTGGTGACATTCCTGTTGCTGCTTATTTTCTCCTACAATGTCATCTTCCTGTTTGTGGGGACCGCAAGCCTGGGGCTGTTCCTGAGCAGCACCTTCCCCAGTATGCTGGCCTACACTGAAGACATCCTCCAGTACAAAGGTAAGTGGCAGAGGGACACAGAAGCACGCTCTCTGCCACTGGTAGCCACCTCCTCTCCTGCTCCCAGCTTGCTGTGGTATTCTAGGCCTGGACTTTCTTTCACCAGGAAAATCAAAACACCCCCTCCCATGTGAGAGCAGGCATGTTTGGTCATGGGAGTCCTGTCCATGGCTTTCTGTGTATCCTGTATGTGTCCTTGCAGGCCACAGTTTCCTTCTGCTTGGTCATAATGGCATGGTACTGTTTATGAATCTACACCTGACTTGTTGGCTGTCATAGCATCCTGTATGTGTTTAACTTAGAAGAAAAAAAATTTAATGTGATTGGATGAGTCAAAGAATCACCTGTGTTTGAGTTTCTGGCTTCTGGATCCTCTAAGTGGGGTCCAACACATGGCTGAGACACATCTCAAATCAGGGAAAATTCTTTTGAACTGTGATTTAGAAGCAGCCCCAGTCTTGATGGGACTGAGAGCAGAAACGGCCAGTGTCAGCAGCCATCCTGGGAACAGGCCAGTGTGATACTAAAGACTTCACAAAGAACAGGGGACATGCCCAGGAGAAACAGTCCATTTCCCCAGCTCATCCCAGCAGCAGGGGAGGCAACTCCCTGGGGGACCAAAGTACTCAGACTCTAAACTCAAGAGAGTCAATTAAGTGATGAAACGATGTCCTCATGTCAGTTTTAAGAGATGAGCCGATGTTCCAGCACAGCAATAACAAGTTCGGATGAGTGACCACGCAGCTCCATCTTCCTGTCACTCCCCATGGTCCAGGCTCAAAATCAGCCCTTTTCCTCATTTACTTGCTTGGCATATTTAACAGTGCTGCCTGCGGTCTGCCGTCACCTCCTCTGCCTCCGCAGGTCTGGACTTGTCTCGTTGTCCTTCCGTCTTGCCTACCTCGCACCCACTGGCTCAGCACCGGGATCCCCTGGAGTTCTATACTACAACCAGGCTCCTCTGAGTGGGATGTCACAGAATGGAGAGGTGGCCTGTTCTGATGGCATCTAGGTGTCACAAGGCCACTCTCTGTGCTGCTGCAGAGGGTCTTCTGAGTGACAGGCCTGCAGTCTAGCCACACTAACTCTTGAGAGTTCCTTGATGACACAGCAATTACTCTGAGCCACCATGCTTTGGCCATAACCACTCTTGGTGTGGACCTGCCTCCATCAACACCCCCACTCCCACCCTGTGCCCTTCCAGGAAGTATCTCTGACCTCCATGGAAAGGAGTGCCCCTCCCTTTTGTGGTCCACTGACTCAGGCCTGTCCCTGCTATGTGACCCATCTCACAGCTTCTATACCTATGCTATGTCCTCTCCAACACAGTTCCAGAAAGGGACAAGAGAGAGTGTAGGCTTTGAGGACATTGCAGACACAAGCATCAGTCCCGCCTCTATATTTGCAGGCCTGTGACCTCAAATGACCTCATTTCTTTTCATCTCCCTGAGCCTCAGTTTTCTTGTCGGTCATATGGTGGCTCACACCTGTAAGCCTAACACTCGGGAAGCAGAAGCAGGCAGATCTCCATAAGTGCTAGGCCAGCCAGGGCTACATAGTGAGACCCCATCTCAAAAAAAGGAGGAAGAGGAGGGAGGAAGAGGCAGCGGCCCAGCAGCCTGCCTCTGCTGGGTAGGGTTGTACCTCAATGGCAAGGCACTTGTCTTGCATGTGGAAGGCTCTGGGTTTGCTCCCCAGCACCACAAAAACAACCCAAAGACAAATGCTGATCCCACAGGAATGCTCTCTGCATGGGAAGAAATGTAAAGCTCTTGATTGGTTGGCATTGCTGGCAGCTCACAGGGCTCCCTACCTGCACGTTTGTGACACTATTGCTGATATGCACAAGGGTCTCATGCTGTTTCAGAAGAAGGCACAGAGCAGCTGGGAGCCCTTGGAATTCAGAGACGGGGGTGAGCAGTGTTCAGTTTAGAAATCTGATGGGGTGTGAGCTGCCCTCACGGAGAAAAGGGTGGGGAAGGGAAACCAAGATGTGAAGGAAGGACGTGTGAGCACACGCAGGACAGGGATTGGCTTGAGGGAGACAGGGCTGGAAGGCGGTAGAGCCGTCAGGAGATGTGCCAACATTGGCCACAGTGCTGCTGATAGGCTCTGATGTGTCAGGGACCCAGGCACCCTCCTGGGGTAGTGTCTGTTGGGGAGGGAAGGGCATCAGCTAGTAGGGTCAATTGTGCTGGGAACAGGGGCAGTCAGGGCTAGAGAAGAAGCTGCCATTCTGGGCATCGGGACTGTGGAGGATGTTCGCAAAGGAAATCTAAACTCAGGCACAACCTGTGAACTGGCAGAGGGAGAGAAGTCTTCAGCGGGCCAGTAAAGGACTGCATCTGAGACAGGCAGCAACACAGGTCATGACATCAGGTTATCCTGGCTGAAGGTGGCTTGGGAACCAACGGTGTGAGAAATGGCTTTGCAAACCACATAACGCATTTAGACTTGTCCTGAAGGTGAAAGGACCTGGCTTCAAGTGTCTGTCCTGGGCCAGCCCTCTAGAGAAGCCATACAACTTGTTGAAGGGCACATGACAAGGGGTGTTATAAGTAGCCTTAGACTCTAGGTCTGGCACTAAGGTAAGCTCTGAAGGTCTCAGATCTCTCTGGAAAAGCAGGCGATGGTCAGGTTGAGAAGAGTCCTGAATGCCAGGCTTCACAACTGTGAACAACTGAAGGTTTGAGAACAAGAAAGAGACATGAGCCAGGCGTTGGTGGTGCATGCCTTTAATCCCATCACTTGGGAGGCAGAAGCAGGCGGATCTCTGTGAGTTTGAGACCAACCTGATCTACAAGAGCTAGTTCCAGGACAGGCTCCAAAACTACATAGGGAAACCCTGTCTCAAAAAACCAAGAGAGAAAGAGAGAGAGATGAATAGTAGGAGAGAAACATTCTCAAAGTAGTCACAGCTCAAAGTCCTAGACAGCTTAGGAATGCATAGCAGTCTCTCACATCTTCCAGGCATCCCAGAATGTTCTGACTTCTGATGGCTCATTGCTGCATCCTCAGCTTTCTCTCACCTAACCTTTCCTTCTCGTTTGGCTAGGCTGTGCAACTACAGTGCTGGTGACTGGGGCAGGAATTGGCGAGATGGTCCTGCAGATGCTGGTTGGTTTGGTAGGTGGAGTCCTCTGGGGATGGGGTTGGGGTCGTGGTGGTTGGAGAACACTCCTCCAAGCAGGTGAGAAGCTTCAGCCAGCCACTTTTGAGTATAAGCTATCATTTCCTGAATCCCTCATGGCCTGCAGGAACCCACCAGGCTGGAACTAGCTGTTTCCGTTTCCAAGCCAGCCAGACTCAAAAGCCAGGCCTCTGAATGTTGGATGTGGAGACCTTAATGACTAAATGCATGAATCCAAAGCAAACACGGCTGTCTGGGCCTGGGGCCAGGGAACCCCATGAGAATGCTGTTGGCCTTCAGAGCACAGATGGTGTGCCCTGCATCTGGTAGTGTCCTCTATGCATCCTGCCCAGGTCCATGTCTCCCAGTCTGTGGCCATGCCAAGCAGGACCCCGCTCATGTCCAGCACCTTCCCTGACCACTCCCTGGCTTTCCTTCAACTCGCCCATGTTATATTTATTTCCCAGGAAATCAAAAATTAACATCAACATTACTTTCCTTGACGACCATACAGAGATGCCAGGCTTTTTACAGCACAGGAGCCTGAGACATAAATAAACCAAGTAGCTTGCCCTAGGTCGGTTGGCTTTTAGTAACAGCCAGTGATGCTGCCGAGCCTAGGTTGTACACCCTTCAAAATCCCCTCAAGCCATTGGAGCCACCTTTCTCTTCCTGTCAACCTGACAAGTGGGTAGAGCTACATTTTGGATGCCCTCCGCATTGAAATGCCATGTCTGGGGGGTTGATTTGGCATGGTTTCTTCTTTTTCCCTTTTTTTTTTTTTTTTTTTTTTTTTTTTTTTTTTTTTTCAGTTTCTCTATGTAGTCCTGGAACTTGCTATATTGATCAGGCTGGCCTCGAACTAACAGAGATCCGCCTGTCTCTGCCTCCCAAGTGCTGGGATTAAAGTCATGAGCCAGCATACTGGACATAATGTGGTTTCTTTGTTAGACCCCCAAAAAATCAAGTATCCGGGGTCCAAGGCCACGTTCTCGGTCACCCCAATCACCAGGCGGATTCGAGAGCTTGC